TGGACACCCCTTGGGCCCTGAGTATCGTTTCCTTAAGGACCATATGTGAAAGTAAAAGACTTTTGAGGAAAACTGTATACCAGATTTACATGTTGACCTAAGCATCTGGCCGTCCTGTAATGTGTAGTTATATGATTCCCTTCCTTCTAACCACAGATCATGTCATGGAGTATTCCCATGTCAAAGACGGGGAACTGTGGTACAGTAGAAGTCTCGTCAGTCGGGTGATTCTCAACCAGTGTCCCATAGCCATGAAATTCTTGCTGAGCATTAATAGCACTGTTAGGTGTGCCAATGCCTACAAAATTCACAAGGTAAACACAGATACTTCATAGATTCATAGATGTTAGGGTTGGAAGGAACCTCAGAAGGTCATCGAGTCCAACCCCTGCCCTCCCCTGATGAATTTATAGGCAGCCACAATATCACCTCTCAGCCTTCTCTTGCGAAGGCTGAAGAGATCTAGCCCCCTCAGTCTCTCTTCGTAGGGCCTTGCCTGCAGGCCTCTGACCATACGAGTCGCCCTCCTCTGGACCCTCTCAAGATTCTCCACATCCCTCTTGAGGTGCACCGCCCAAAACTGGATGCAGTACTCCAACTGCAGTCTATCCAGTGCCGCATAGAGGGGAAGCATCCCCTGGACCTATTTGTCATGCATCTGCTAATGCATGATAAAGTGCAGTTAGCCTTGTTGATCACTTCTCCATATTGACGACTCATGTTCATCTTGGAGTCAACTATGACTCCAAGATCCCTTTCCTGGGCTGTGCTGCTGAGAAGGTCATCCCCCAGCCTATAAGTGTGCCGGTGGTTCTTTTTGCCAGGTGCAGCACTTTGCACTTGTTTTTGTTGAACTGCATCCTATTTTGTTCTGCCCATTTTTCCAACCTGTCCAGATCTACCTGGATCTGTTCCTTACCATCTGGTGTATTAACACTGCCCCATAATTTGGTATCATCCGCGAACTTGGACAGGGTGCTCTCCACGCCCTTGTCCAAGTCACTGATGAACACATATTGAACAGCACCAATTCAAGGACTGATCCTTGTGGGACTCCAATGCCCACATCTCTCCAGGTCAATATTGACCACCACCACCACCACTCTCAGGGTGTGACCCCAAGCCAATCTGTCAAGCACCTGACTGTGTTATCATCTACATCACAGACTGTCACTTTATTTACAAGAACAGAATGCAATACTGTATTGAAGGTGTTCTTAAAGTCTAGATAGATGATATCTACTTTTTATTCCCCACCAAGTCATCCCCTGTAGCTAACACCAAGTCCAGCAAGGCGTTTCCCCTAGTGGGATCATACACCTCCTGCGTTAGGTATTTCTATGTCAAATATAAATCCATAACGTTAAAAACCATTCTGACCTTTTGTGGTCTAAGTTTCTGCAACAAGAATTGATCTATTATTTTTCTGTAGTCAAAAAAACAAGCGAAAAATAAGAACTAGCATTTTCTGGAGGGTGCACTGAGTCTATCAGGGGGTGCCTTATGCCTAAAAAGGTTGAGAACCACTGGATTAGTCACTTAACCCAATGTATCACAGAACTCTGTGAGGCAAGGTTTCCCAAATCCCAAGTTAGCCCTACATACACTGGACCATCCTTTTTAAACACTGATGTTAAGTGCGTCTTTATTAGGAGAATGAATTGGTGCGGTTACACTGGTAGATAAAATTGGATGGTGTAGACATGGCCTCAGTTACAAAAGTATACCCATTTTAAAACACTCTCATAGATTTCATAGACATTAGGGCTGAAAGGGACCTCAGAAGATCATCAAGTCCAGCCCCCTGCCCAAAGGGCAGGAAGTCCACTGGGGTCATAGGATCCCAGCAAGATAAGCATCCAATTTACTCTTGAAGGTGTTCAGTGTACGTGCTTGAACCACCTCCGATAGCAGGCTGTTCCAGACCTTGGGGGCTCGGACAGTAAAGAAATTCTTCCTTATGTCCAGCCTGAAATGGTCTTGCAGTAGTTTATAACCATTCGACCTCGTCATCCCTTGGGGCGCTCTGGTGAACAAACGTTCCCCCAGAAACTGGTGGTCACCCCTGATAAACTTATAGGTGGCCATCAGATCACCCCTGAGCCTGCGCTTTTCCAGGCTAAAGAGCCCCATCGCTCTCAACGCAACAGAATTTCACTTTAAACAACAGCCACTTAGTTACATATTTTTAAAAGTTGGTCAGATTATTAAGTGCAGGATCTATGAAAAGAGGAGAGAGAATAAGGTATGGTGTGATCCCTCTATAAATATACCGGCAAGTGGAAATGTGAGAAAACGTGACTGTTTGCATCATGATACTCTAAGCTCATAGATTTGAATATTACAATATTATCACTGGTTCCAGGTGTTTCCCTACCATGAGCCACCTATTAAAGACCTTATAACTTTTTAATCCTTCTTTTTAGTCTTCTGTAGTTTTGCTTATGGGAATATTGGATCTGCAGGAGATATTTCTGGTTTTTCTTTGATGTTCAGAAATATCTGGTGGCTGATGCACATCGATTACACAATATTCTCCTGGTATCCACTCACCCCTACTTTGTAAGATCAGAAAATATATTTCTGCTACCAGTCCTGGGGAAGCTCAGAATTTCCCAAACTAAATTCATCCCTTTAACTGTAGTTAAGGAAATGTGGAAGTTTTCCTGTCAACTGCACCTAAGTTCATGGAGCCTCATATATCATAGGAAACCTAAACCACTACACTGTGGGAAGTATTCAAATATTTTGCTTAAAAGCATTCATAGGTTTACTACTCCGAACTACAAGTGAAGCTTTGGTACTGGGACATAACATTATTTGTTTTGAAAAACTCCTTAGTATGGTACCGTCATCTATGGGAAAAATGTTGGCACATATGAAGGATTAAACAAAAGAAAAAAATTGAAACGAACAAAACTAGCTTAATTAGCAAAAAAGGTTAGTGAATAAACAGACTGAATTCAGTTTACTATGATTTGTGTGGAGAGAATATTGGCCATTTACTAATATTTGGACAACTGTCCGAAATTGGGGGGGGGG